CCCTGTATGTTTATCAGAGCGAGTAGTGTCCTGAGCCCCTCCCAATTGTTGTATAGACAAGTCCCACAGATCTCTAATCTGCCTGACTCACATGGAAGGCTGTGTACTCAAGCAGAAATGGGTATATTGTATCATGCTGGTACTAGTGGTAGCTTGTGGAGGAATTTGTTGCATGTAAAGTACATATACATACATGGATTCTGCAGTTTAATTGAAAACATCTGTCGTAAGGATTCCTCCAGACGATTATGTAATCCTTGCTCAAAATTGTAAATCCACACTGAAATCCCAGACAAGTGTGGGAAGATGATTGTTTATTCTGGGTTGTTGATATATAACCTGAATCACTGTATATTGAAGATAGTATCCCTGTGATTTCTAGGAACCTCAGCTGCCAGTCGCTCTATAAACCATGATTTGGTGATAAGGTGTAATGTTTCGTTGAAATTGAAAATCTTGATGAAAAAGAGCTTATGTGATATTGTTTATTCTAGACTTTTGTGATTAGGTACAAGTGGACAGGGTATTATGAAGAAAATGGAAGTGGTCCATTTACGTAATTCCTCACTTATCATTACTATGACAACAAAGCCTGACTCATTATAACTGCATTCTCATACTATGTAGGTACCTTAATATCAGCTTTGTGTGGTATCATACTTATAGAAAAGAAAAGAAATAGAACTATCGCTCACACTCACTCACTATCTGGTTTAACTGATGTTCCCCGTCTCCTGAAGGTAAGATTTGCTTGCACACTGATGCTGAGACTTGATGTTTATTGTATTTAGTACTATTTATCTGTAACATGTTACTAGTATGTCTGATAATTGGGAAGATTGAAAATATAAGGAAATACAACATAACCAAATTATTGGGCCATGGGAATGTTTACATCAGACACCAAAGTTACATTGAAGTATTCACATTGAATTTTCAAGTATTTGCATACGCTTCTCAAACACTTCTTACAACATACGTACAATGTAGACATGACGTAGAGGAGTCTAATTTCATCATGTTCATCCACTATACTATACATTGTACTTCTGTTGCCATTTTTGGAAGTTATGGTAAAGCATTGTGGGTAATTCCAAGACAGCTGGAACTTGCTGACGGTGGATTGAGTCAGGAAGAAGGTACATGTATGTTGAATTACACTGCACACGCACACCAGAACAGACAGAAGTAGACATACTGGTACCGGACTACTGGTATTCACTCTTAACATAGGAAGTGGTCTGGAGATTCAAGGTCTTGTGTTCTTAAGTATGTTGTGAATAGCGTTCTACCATTAAGCATGACGTCCGGATGTGTTCACAACATTGGTAAATGTCGTTCATGCATAGATGCCTAACAGGAAGGAACCTGTGGGAGAATAGTTCAAGGTCTCCTTAAGGTAAGGTATGTTCTCGATGATTAACCATAACCTTCAGGTGTCTTTACAACTTGAGTGTGTTTTTCTGCTGTTTGTGTATCTGACTACGTGTGAATGTCATGTATGACCTCAAAGTGCCTCGAAGTCAGGACTGCGGTAAGTATTGATTTTACTCTCTTACTGAAGGCCCCTTTTTCTTCAGAAAGTCTATTCAATGTTCATAACTGATATTTGTTTACCATATAGTACCAGTAGCAATCTACATGGCTGTTGTAAGCTTGTAATACTTAGATGTACAAATGTTACAAATTTACAGTACTCTATGTAGTATAATGATTAGTTGATTGAGGTTTTAGTCAAGTTCTAAGCTGTATGTGTGAGACTTTCGGATCTCTTGAATGAGTATTTTAGATTTTGGAGATTTGGAATAATGTTAAACAGGATATTGGGACATAACACAGTCTTGGAATTTCTAAGTAGGGCCTAGGAAAATAAATGTTGTGTTTCCTGTTTCCCGACCGACCCTAAAAAAAACCGCCGACCCTAGCCTTATTTTTGTGTGGACCCCTGCGCTGCATATTGCTGAACCAAAACATTTGCACGACGCTACCGAGAGAATCGCTGTCATTGGTGGAACATCGGGCGCCCCGCTAGCGTTTTGAAGCCGTGTAAACAACGCTTATTGTCTGATTTGTTTGTAAAACAAAGCCCTCGACCCCGAAAATAAGTTTAACAAAAAAGCCGATACGTTTACGAAACCGTAGAAAATTCGCTATCGACGTAAAGCACATGGTGGCCGCAAGTCCTGAATCTCAAAATCGGCAACGCGGCAGAAAAATGCCTGGTCCATTTTAGCGATTTTTTCCATAAAAATAACGTATGTGGTTTATTTTCCCTCTGGTATTAGTTTTTAGGTCCCGAAACCCTTTAAAAAAGTAGAAATTTGCCGGCAAATCGGACGGCCGAGGTGGGGAGGGCGCCTGCATTTAGAGCTGCGTGACCCGTAAAGTCAAAGGTCATAGGGCACGCGTATTGCGCAATCATCGTAAATTGCGCCGATTTAGCTAATTTTAGGGCGTTTAAAATTGATACAATCACATTATCGATTTTTAGGAAAACTTTGGGATAGAAACCAATCAAAATTTTGCGCTGAATAATATTTTTTTCTTCAGTATTTTTTTCTTCGGTAAGTTTTTTCGTCAGAAGTTTTTCCTCAAAAGTTTTTTTCTTCAAAAGTTTTTCTTCTTCGAAAGTTTTTTCTTCAAAATTTTTTTTCTTCAGGCATTTTTTCCTTCAGAAGTTTTTCTTCTTCTGAATCCACTAACTTTGACCAGACTAGACAATGTACCATACCAACCAATTATTAATATTTGTACTTAATTGGGCTTGATTTTCTATCTCTTAAGTTAGACAGATTTTCAACTCAAGTTGCAGGAGAAGGCTACAAACTGCATTTCAGAATGGTACGTATTAAAATGCAACAGCTTCTCCTGCGCGCGGCGTAGGGCGCAAAGTTGGAGACCCCTGAAATATAATATTGCACAATTGATTTTTCAACTTGTTCTACTTAAATAAACACAGCAATCAGCAAAAGTCTAAAAAAAATAAAAATAAAAATAAAATAAGATAATCCCTACCTACCGACCCTAATTTTTTCAGGACCGAAACAGGAAACACAACATTTTTTTTCCTTGGCCTAGGTATTTCCTTTCACTGTAGCATTGATTACTGTATGACTGTTTCTCAAGACTTACATGTATAATCCTGGGCAAATGGCAGGATGGGACTCTTATAAGAACATAATGCCTTACAGTGAGTAATATTCTGCTCTGAGATGCCCTTGCACTAAGTTACAGCTCTAGAACAGACCTGCCATGTCTTTTCCTGACAGAGACAAGCTGCTGAAAGAGTGGATAAATCTAAATGCCTGTAAGCCCAGCTATCAGATAGAAACATTACAAATGTCTATTATAGCCTGTTACTTCAAGTGGTGCATTTAACTCTGAAGGTAATTGGACAAGAGATGATAAACTATCATGTATACAGAGTGTTTATAGTATGCTATTTCCACTTACATAATATTAATAGAAATGTAGGAAACTGTACTACATCACCTAACACATCAGAAGTCATTGAAGGTTCATAAGAAAATAGGGAAAATCTTAAGGAGTTGTTATTTTCAGTCGTTTATGTCTGGATACTTAGCCTTGTATCTGTTCTTATTCTCCTTTTGTTACACTGAACTTACAGGTTACAAATGAACGTACATAAATTACAGATAGGGTGCCCTTGTGGTATTATCCTGTCATTCCTGAATATTCCCTGGAACAGGCTACAGCCATCTCACAGAATCAATCCCTTTTGTCTAGTAACCTCGAGTGTCAACTACCCTATGAATGTGCTCTATAGACCATAAAGATAAAGTTCTGGATCAATAAAAACCATCTGATAAATCCTTGACCTTCAGGATGGTAATAACACGTGCTATCTGTGCCATCATGGCCCTCTGGTATTGCCATTACAGATCTTAGCAGCCAGGGGCACAGCAATCACGGGACCCATTACCAGCAGCTGAGCTACAATTAGTCAGATTGGTTTTGCAATACCGTAGTCCGCCCTACATTTGTACACTACTCAATAAGTCGGCTTGGAATTCATTGCAGTATATTTGTTATTAGCGGTGCATACCGGTTCACTGGACTTGGATCCGGACTTGTAAGAATGTTTAGGTTCAAGTCCAAAAAAACCTAAAAGTCAAGAACCGAGTCCGGACTTATTACCATAAAAGACCATTTCACATACCCCTTTTTTTCCCAAACCAGCTTAAACCTTCCGTAAATTGCAAAATCTTTGCTGCAAAATGAAGAAAACATTGCCATCGGGCATCGTCAAGTACTGGCCTCCATGTTATGTGACCAAAGTTTCACCCAGACAACATTGCAAGATTGCCGACATGCAATTTTGTATATGCCATGTTTAGGTCCGGACTTACAAGTCCGGAACTGAACCTAAACCTCTGGACTTGAATCCGGACCTGAACCTAAATGTGGGTCTAGGTATGCACCACTATTTGTTATGTTAATAGAAAGTTTAAGGCTTCTTCTGTGTTTGATTTGTCAAACTTGCGCAGGCACTTGAACTTCGTTACCTTTGTATAGAAATGATTACAAGTGCTTAAACATGGGTCTTCACAACCTTAGAAATAAATCGTGAAAATGCCAGCTGGCAATTACAGCACTACTGGGCAATCTCAAGCTGTACTGGCCTACAACATAATGGCCTCCTTGATTGGTTGCCAACAAGTCTAGAATGCCAATCATGTGGCCATTGACTTTTGATTCCTGGTGGGTTGATTATTGTCTACAGTGGTGATTGCAATGATAAGTGTTTGGTCCTATATTACTATATTGGGGCCCTATTGAGATTGAAGCTAGATAGGTTTGTTAGATACAGGTCCTTGAAACTAGTTTATAGGACCAATAACAGCAGTTGTGCATATAGAATAAGCTTACATGTATTAGAAAAGACTTGTATTCATAAATTTCAGGTTCACCATGTGTTAACAAATGAAGCTAATGTTTGCTAGCTTTTTAGCTATAATGCTTTAACCAGTCATATTCTTTTTGTCTTTCAGGTAGTAAAGCCTAAGCACTAACTATAGTATCACCGAGTGGGACCTTCTTTACTGTAGCCTGTGGTCTACACAGTGTTCTGTGATACAGGCTGATCTCTGGCAAGCAAAATGAATAGGAACTCCCCACAAAAACTTGACGTGTCCCACGTAGGGGCGACCAGGATTCACCAAGTGTTACAGAATAACACAGGAGGATCCTCGAACTCTCACTCCCGATCCTCCTCCACATCCTCCTCCCATCACATGTCCAACTCCCTGCCTCACAACGCCCACCCACAGACCCACCCTGAAAAGGTCCGCAGCAACAATAACTCCCCCTCCCCACACGCACAGTTCCCCGACCCAGACTGGGAGGAGAAGGAGGAGTTGAGGTTACGAGAACTGGAGGAAGCCCGCGCACGCGCTGCGCAGATGGAAAAAACAATGAGATGGTGGTCGGACTGCACCGCAAACTGGCGTGAGAAGTGGGGGAAGGTTCGGAACGAGAGGAACAAAGCCAGGGAGGAGAACCGTCAACTACGGGGAAAATTGGACGCGGTGATAAAAGAGCTCACGACCACCAAGAGGGAAAAGCAGGAGGTTTCTGTGGACCTTGAGAGGTTAAAAGGTGAGCTGGAGAAGGTGAACAATGACAGGGAAGTTGCCAGTGTGATGACAGACACAACGTGTGGAAGGAAATCCCCCAGTCAAGACGTGGTTCCAGAGAGGGACATCTCGGTCTGTGAGAAGGCAGAGAAGGAAAATGTGAGCGAGAAGCAGGAAAAGATGTTTGACAACAAGAACGAGCTACATCTGGACATTGAGGTAAAATTCTAGTCTAGCTGTACATAGTGTGCAGAACCTCAGACTGAACCATGAACCATGTATACACTGAAGGTTGTAACAATATCATAGCTTGTCAAGTTTTCACAGTTATGTCATGGAAGATAAAATGCCATTTTCATACAATTGTTAGATGCTCAACTTAACTTCACCTTTGCAATGTTCTCAACCTTTGTTTTTCTTTTTAGGAGACTTTCAATGGTCATTAAGCTGTTTCTACTTTTTGTTACGAAGTTGCATGCGAAAAGTTGAAGTACCATGACATTTTCTTCTGCCAACCACAGATTGACAAACCCGAGCGCCCGCCGAGCTGGAGCGGCACGGCATCCCGCAGTCGTGACCGCGCCCAGCTGGAGGAGCTGATGGCTGAGAAGGAGAAGACGGAGCAGAAGATGTGCATGCTGCAGATGAAACTGGAGGAGAGCTCCAAAACCATCCAGATTGAGAGGGAGTATGTACATGTATACTATCACTATGTTCAAGGTTTCATCTTGGCTGTGGTGACAAGTTAAATTTCCTCAGGGACCAAATAGTTTACAAGGGACTGTCAAATGCTACCGTACAGAAAAGTCATTGGACCTGCCGTTATGCCTTGCTTGTAGTAGTCCATACAATGCTGCCCCCTACTGGTTATAGTATGAAAGACAGCTTTACTTACTACCTATCAATGATGGATTCAGCATGTCGGCAGATTGTACTGTGCCTGTGATGTATTGTGCATAGCATTTTGTGAGAAAGTCTGGTTTAAGGTCGCACATTTAGGAATCCTATCTACAGTTTTCATATGTTATGTCGGAAGACATGTCGTCGTCAACTGTGAAAAATCCAGGCGCAGTATATTTTGTGATGCATTGATCCAGTCAACATACTATTTCTTTCAGTACAAGAGATTGTCATTAATCGCCATGTTGCCAAGTCTTTTCCTTGTTACCAGCTCTGTTTGCTCACTACCAGTCCATTCTTGTTTATTCATTTGTTATGTCCCTGTACCATCTCGTACTTGTGCACAGATTACTGTCATAATCTCTATCAGACTGACCTACTATATGTACTCCCCCATCAGTCCCACCCCTCCCCAGCCCAGGGTCACCTGACTTCCTTGCCCTTTACTTCTTCAGTCACATTTTTCCATAGGTTTGTAAGTTTTCACCTTTCTCTGCTTTTTGTTGATTTCTCTTTTGTTCACATCTTTTACTTGCTGTGATGTCCTATACATTCTTTACTCATCATTTTCATGTTGACAGACATGTTGCTTGTGATGGGAGTGCCTGAAAAGCTCAAGTTTTCAGGAATATAGGGAAGTGTTGGCAAATTCTAGGGTTTGGATGGAAGTGAACACAATTTTCATGTACTGTACGTCTGTCCCTCCAGTGAGAAGAGTGTCCTAATGAAGGAGATTGAGAAGCTCCATGGGGACCTGTCTACCATGAAGAACAAGTGTGAGGAGGTGACCATGTCTCGCAGTGAGGTTCAGAAGGAGGTATGTTTGTCAGTGTATGAAGCACAGAATCACATTCACTATTTATAGAGGCTGTGGAAATTTGGGTTTGATAGCAAGAACAACAATGCATCTCATCAGTATTATCGAAGCATCATGTGATCGATCAGGTGACAAGAGTCACCAAACACCAAAACAATACACCAAACATTTATTCAGCCAGTTTCTATTACCCTGAGTGAAGACAACATTCAATTTGGGTTATGCAGCTGTAAGGCTGCTGCAGACCAAGTTTAGCTGCTGCAGACCAAGTTTAGATAACCCCGTCTCCCTTCTCCCTCCACAGCTGAACCGCCTGAAGTCCCTCCACCAGCAGGAGCTGAGCAGGGTGACTCTTGACCTGGAGGAAGAGTCCACCTCTAGATCCACCATGGATAAGAAGCTACACGACCTCAGGAAGGAGGTAACATGTGCACCTTGCCATGTCTTTTGATTAAAAAGCACCATATACACAATATACTATGTAGTTTAAATGGCAGCCATGAATCTACCAGCTACAAACAGATTCCTGTGTAGCCCTTGTTGCCTAACTCACCATGTCAGGAGAGCCTTATTGCACATCTGTCAGGTTGCCTAACTAATTGATCGCAGAAAGCACCATGGCAGATGTGATGGGATGTTGTGAAATCATATAGGATTGGGCAGAAAACCACTCAGTAATACTGCAGGGGGTGACAGTTGATATTAAATATTGAAAGGACGACTGTGAGATCATTAGGAGTGAGTTCCTGCTAATGCTAAACGTTCTATAGTTGTGAGGTATATGTTTGGTATGCTCAAGGAGTGTTGTAAAATTAAACTTTTACTCTGCAAAATTAAAGGAGTTTTGAAAAGAGCTCAGATATTAAATATCGTATAACACATTTTTTCAAAATGCTGATTTTCGCTGTAAATAATTTGGGTAAACTAGATAGGACCAGAAGTGGCACAATATTTCTATACCCTTTCTTTATAGTTTATAGGGGATTTGATAACCATCTACCACATCTCAGGTCATGCAGAAAATCCAGACTGCCATATGGGAAGCCCTTCTAGTTCACAAGTTACGGTTGAACACTTTATTTCTTCCCGTTGAAACACAGACCTATCTGCAGTGCAATGAACCGAACCAATGTTATGGCCTATTTTGGGATACTTTGTACCAGTGACAGTTATTCGAAGTGCCACTTCTAAAAAGTAGTGCATAATAAAAAGCACTTATGATATAAGAAATGATGCGTGGTGGGCTGTTATAAATTGCTTCATGTCAAGACCATTATATTGACTGTAAGCCGTGAGTAAAGATGATGTATGTCTTGGTACGACGATGGAGCCCCGGATCGTGCGGATTCTTGCCCCTTGAGGACGTGCAAGCGTGTGTGCTTGCTGCTTTTTGTCCTTTAAGGCTGCCCATCCATCCAAGTGTCACCCGCACAAGTCTTGGGCATAAGCCACTGACAGTGATGAATTCTCACCCACTCAATCACAGCCCACTTCATCATAAATACTTTCCAAAGTAGAGCAAAGTTGGAAGATGAAGGGCACAATAAAAAAAAGTTTGACAGAAAAGGTATACTGGTTGACCTTTAGCACTCTGTAAGTAGCCATTTTGCTCCCAATTCTTCATTGGTCATGGGGTTAGGAAGCTGGGGGAAAGTGCAGGAATAGACAGTGCAGGAATACGTAACGCACTTTTTTTTCCAGACAGTTAACAAGTCTATATGGCAATTTTAAAGACGCATGATAATATTTCAGTTCGGAACATTTGCTTGTGACATTTGAATAAACTAGACAGCCTATCTTTAGAGGGAGGAGGGAAAAAGAAAACTCCTATATCCTATAACTTACCAACCTGATGAAACTATTTAGATATATAGACATTGGCATACCAGTAGTGAGCTCTGACAATGATGGTTATATATGTGTTAGGGTGAAGTAGATATTACAGCGATGACTTGTTCCACAAATGAAAGTAATGATCACCACCAATTCTCCTCATGACTAGAGCTCTTCTGTGCTGTAATTATACAATGATGCATATCTCAACCCAGTGAATGTGTCACATTTGTGCTGTGAAATATTGAACACCTCTCGCATGTCACAATACCTGAAGGATTCCAAACGGTCTCAAATTGTAATAAAAATGATCCCCAGTGACAGGTTTATTTCACACCTGCCCAGAACAGGGGGATGGCTGTGCTGATTTATACCTGAGATTAAGGTGGAAGCTGTGGGTTTTATGTAGTTATTGCTTCTCTAACTTCAGTAGCCTCCACGGGGGTTTTACTCCTGGTGTCTGTAATAAGATTCACAGGCACGCGGCTGGTGTGACGGGCCTACAAATCATACTTGAACCAGGCCTGCATGTTATTGCCACAGACCCTCGCTAAGCTGGATAATCTGGGTATGCATCATGCTTGTGGTGGCTGATCAAACTGGAGGATGTCTGTATTTCATCCATGGATGATAGAAGCCCTGCTGTAGCTATCCCAGGTGGTGGGAAGAACCCTCTGCCTTCATATACAATCAATATCATTGTCAAAATGCCCATAATTGACTACATGTTGCATAGCAGGGCCTGATGAGCAGTAGTTGCTCAGATAATCCAGTTACTGTTTTCCGTGGCAGATGGGAGTGTGCAGAATGGTTCTTTCAATGAGAAAACAGTTGAATATGAAACCTTACTTAGATATTGGCTTATGCTCAATCTTTCTGATCTCCATTACATTGTGTATTCTTCTCCCCTCTCTCCCTCATGTTCCTTTCTTTACTGTATTGTCATTAATTGTCTGACCGTTATCACCTTTACAGTGCTTAACAAATGATGGAAGCGATTTCAAACAATATTGTGTTATTTGATACTTCCTTGGACCAGCAGAACACATTCCAGCCTAGTCAGAAAAGCCATTGGCAGGTAGCCCTGGAGTTGCTACTATGTTTCCATGACAGCAGTTCATGATTGACAGCCATTACAATGCAGTAGAAAACATGTTGCAATATTTTGTCCATATTTGAATGCAAAGTTTTATTTTTCTATGATGATTAAAGACCAGAATTTCCACGACAAAACCAGTGTGTAACACTTGTTGGACATTAGTAGCAGCCATAACTTTGCTTATGCTGTTCACGGTAGCTGCTGGATAGAAAAAGTATTTTGAGCCCTGCCAGTCAGTTAGTGTGGTGTTGGACTGATGGCTAGAGCAACCCAGTTGTCACTTGACAACCTTACTTTTTACTCAGGTTGCCCAATATGTACCTCACATATGCTGCTGGGGAGAAACCATTATTGCCATTGGTGATCGATATCTGTATGTGTACGTGTAAGGCTGTTTGTTTCCATGGGGACAGTTTCCATTGGGACATTTCAAGGTTAAGAAGGAAAAACAGCAAATATCCTTGGGGTAACATGCGTATGTGTATCTACATATCTGTAGTGGTCTGAAAAACCAATGTTTTTCCACATGAGTCAGACTGCAATAACAACATGCATTTTGTTTAGATGTAAGGCCATAGTAAGTTAATTCTATGGAGGACATCCTCTGCAGACTCTGATGTAAGTGTGAAAAATTAGAATGGACCAAAAAAAGCAAGAAACCTAAATTTTCAAATAGAAACTGTAACAAGAGTTGAAGCAACTAAATATAGTATCACAGCAGCCAAGTTTTTTTTATGTTAATTTTATTTTAAGAAGTGCAGAATGTGACATACCTGTATGAAACTAGCATCACTACAACTACACTCAAGGCCACGAAGCTAATATCTCTATTAAAACTACACTCCTGTTTTTGTTGATCATCGTCAGAGGTGAACAACCCACAAAAAATCAGTGCGCCCATAGATGTCATCCATAAAATTTATTTGTTATGGCCTAAGGTATTGTCAGACAGATTAGCATTCTTTTATGTACACCTCAAGGATAAGTAAGATTACATATTTCAGCCATGTGGTAAGCAGGTGGGAGGGTGGTCTGGGGTGACTTTTATAAGTCATGTTTATGAAGTATCACTATTAGATCTAGAAGAGGGTTATCTAAGGTGACATGGTTAGGTAGTTGTTTTTATGATGTGTTTTTATATGTTTATATCAGTGTCTATGTGCTGAAAGCAGCTTTATTCAAGGTCAGGTGCACGTAATTGGTTTTATAAAATTGAACAATTTTTCACTCTGAAAAACTATTTCAGTATGATTTATGATATTTGCCTAACAGTGCAAGTTTAGAATTGGGCAGTTTTGTCAATGTAAGATTGAAAACAGGTGTTGCTATTTTTATCATAGCGTGAGAAAACCTGCTAGAATGTATTGTGTCTGGTGTAGACAATATTGTTATGGTCTTTTTGCAAATCAGTAGTTACAGAATGAGTTTGCATGGCGCCATTTAAACACTGCTGGGGGCCAACTTCTGTTTCAGTCGTCAATTGTCCAACTTCCCTTTAACAATAACACAAATAGAAATTCCCCAAGATGACAAATATGCCAATAACCGGTCCACCTGTAGAGGGTAAGGGGATCCTGCTGGCTAGTCCAGAGTCGTAAGCTGTTTCTGTATGATTAATGGTGGAACATAGCAGAGCACCATATGGATCGATTTGCCTTGCTGCACTGTTTAATACAGATTGGATTAAAATGTCTATCATTGAAAATATGAAATAGTTTTCCCCCATACTTTATACATTAAGCCATTTGTCAAGTCAGGGCCTATCAAATCCTTGACCTTAGGATTGGGACCATTGATCTATACTCGGTGGATATCTGAATTGAATTGGTCATATGTTTCTCCTCTTATATATACAAGTACATGTATGTATGCCTCAGTTTTTATATAATAGTCTCATCTGAAATCTTATCTGTTAGACCTAGTTGAGTAGAAGTGGAATTGTGATCATCTTAAACATTTATTTTAATTGTGAATTGACGGTACAAAAGTCATAGAGTGGCACTCAGTGACTGTACTTGAAGTAGATAATACATGTATCTATTGATGTAATTGCGGGACCTGTACAGCCTACGAGTTGATGTTTCCAGGGTGTTTTCCACACTATCTACTCTTTACAGATGCTGTCTGTCTGATTGATAGTCAAGAGGTTGCCATGTACACCACTTGTCTGGGAGTGAAACCGATCACGCTGTCCTAATCTTCATTGTTACCCCTGGTTAAGAACAACCCTGGGAGGTAGAGTCTTTGTAACACTTGTTTGCTCTTCCCGTGCAGATCGAGAGGCTCCAGGCAGAGAACGCCCAGGAGTGGGGTAAGAGCGAGCGTCTGGAGACGGAGAAACTGGCCCTGGAGAGGGACAACAAGAAGCTGCGCACACAGGTGGAGGACCTGGAGGAACAGCTGGACAGGAAGACAAAGGAGGCGTCGGCAGCGCTGGACTCCGATGTCAAAAGTCTCCAGAGCCAGCTCCACGACAGGAACAAGGTGATTCTTCACTGTCATCTGATGTGGCGTTCTACAGACATGGCACAAGTCAGGGGTGGAGAGAAGGAGCACAGAATCAATGGAACTCAGAACTATTGACTTTTCCAAAGTGTCAGAGTTGTACGCTGTTTCCATTTGTTCAGTCTGATAGTCTTCAAGTTGCTTCTGAAAGACTCTTTTCGTATGGCTTCTACAAATCAGACCTTGTAAAATAAGGTATTTTACAGATGGATACAGACAGACATTCTAGACAGAGAATAAAGAGATGACAATGTTATAATAATTGGGGCTAATTGAGTTCTATATTGTCATTAATCTACAGGAAGTTGGAGACTTGAAACATGAAAACAACAAGTTGAAGAAGAAACTTCAGGATAAGGCAGCAGAACTTCACCATGCACAGAAGAAGGCTGAACAAAGTGACACTGAAGTCAAACTGCTCAGGGGCCGCGTTGAGGAACTCAAGAAGTCCTTGGCTCAAGCCGAGGATGAGGTAAGATGTTTGGACAAGGTAGCAGGCAATCAGCTTGAAGTATTTGAAGCATGACAGAGGTCTTTCCAATTCGGATTCAAACCACCAAGTTGCTGTTCCAATTTATAGAACTTCAAGGTCATACATATTCTTCATGTTTATTGATGATATAGCCACGTTAAAAATTGTGTGGTTTGCCTCTGAGTCTTTGCTCAGTGCCTGTCAAAGAAATTTTCACTCCAATTTGTTAGAATGATATTTGGAGCTTAAGGATATATTAGTAAGATTATAAGGTATTAGTACTAGCAGTACATGTTGTGAGAATGTCACTATTAATGACAATCAAAGACACAGTAAAGATTACCCTTATTTCTCTCCTGATTGAATATGCTTGCAGAGCACATAACTTGAGTACAAATGTACATGTATGTTTCTAGTAGGAAGAATATGACTATCAAAGATAGTTATTAAAAGCTATCTAACCAAGGACGTTCTACGTGATAGAACATCCTTGATCTAAGTTCTAACCCAACTACTTATAAACAATTTGTGATATCAGCATTTCTTTCTTACATAAGGTCAGGAACAAAAAACACTTTTCCCTCCAGGTTGACTGTGTACAGGAGAACCATCAGAACACTGTGTAAGCATTATTGTTGTGTGATTAACATGTAAGACTTCCTCTCTACCAGGTTGACTGCCTCCAGAACAACCAGCGGAAGCAGCAGCGTACTCTGGAGGAGCAGCAGGAACAGTGTGAGAGTCTACAGGTCCAGGTGGACCACCTGCAAACAAGGTACAGCAACATTTTATATGCATTCCTTTTTTACACCCAAGAAACAGTCATGTCTTCAGTTATCATCCAAGAATTGAGGTAGTCAAAAACTTGAACATGTATTTTCCAAGAACAGTCATAGAGTGGAACTCATTGCCACCAAGAACAGTTGGGGCATCATCACTAGAAAGCTTTAAACAACTCCTGCAATTAAGTGTGCAAAGATTGGGAGTAACACTAACAGGTCATTTGGTGTAATATTGCTAACCTCTGCCTGCAAAGCTGGTGTGTTATGCCGAAGGGCGTCTATACCGATACAGATGCAGATACCCAAATTCCTTTGCTCGGAGCATATAACATACTAGAAAAACTCAGATCATGATTGAAACCTCCAGAACATATCAGTATTCTCACAAAGAGTCCAGATCTCCACATACACAAACATCAGGTTGTAAATTGATTCTGAGTCTGCCCTTCATGACTCATACACCTGCACTGAATAACTCAGAATTGTGATGACAGCTGTAAATTGCTACTACCCCTACAAGGTCGCTAAAGGTCATGTACTGTACTTGCCTTTTGCCCTACTGTTGGTTTGTTCCTTTGTACCATTCCGGCAACATATCTTAGGCTGTTTTGGATATGCTTTTGTAAAGGTTGATGTTGAGGAAAGCAGGAGATAGATGACAAATTGGGGCCGTAAACTTGACTTAAACACGATGCTTTATTACATGCGGTCTACTATCTACTACCTCCAAGCTTCTTTCTTCAATAATTACTGACTTGGCTTATATAAAAAAATCCAGCCATCAGTTTCTTACTGATAATTTGTGTATTTCTCCAGAAGTAATGTATTGATCAATGTCAAGCTGTGGTGAGATTTAGATGTTGGTCAAGTTGCCAGCAGGATGGAGACCAGCAAATAAGCAATCACTAACACTTCTGGTGGTTTGGATTAGTACAATATGAGTCATACCGGTAGTCAGGATGTGTTTGTCTACTCAAGGGCAAGATTTTGTAACAATGTGTGAGTGCAAGGAGTTAACTCAGCTATCAGAGGGTTCATTGACCTATCAGAGGGTTCATTAGCCTGCCTCCTACACAAATATGCATGGGACATGCTTTTATGCAACATACGTGACTGATCAACATTTAGGAATGTCATCTACTGTCCCATAGGATTATGAAAATTTGGTGATTTTAGTTTTAATGAATTAAAACAAACTCAAGTTAACCTTCTTTATACTGCACCTGATATTCCCAAAGTTGGCCTTGTTATACAACTGTGGAAAGTTGATATATTATAACTTGTGTGTCCTGCAGCCATGTCAAGAGAAATATGGGCTGTGAGTCCAAACAAGGCATTTCTTTCAGATCAAGAAATGATTATGGCCAAGATTTGCCAAACTGAGTTAGGTATTCGATAAAAGAAAAGATGAAGACATTCTGGATCAGTATACTGCTTTTATGTGGCAAGCTATTTTGTTCACTTATGTAGGACATCTATCTGGTATTACTGTCATTGACTTGCATATCATAGCACTTCTCTCGTATATGCTAGGATCTTCATAAAGAGAACCCATTCAAAAACTTAACACCAGTAAATGACTTTGCTTTTCTCCATGTAATAACAAGGTATTTAGCTCTATACATGCTTTATTGCAGGTATGAAATAAAATATCCTTAGATAAAAGTAACTGTAACTGCCCAAATCCAAAATTTCCCCTTCGTCTCACATGTGACATAAAAAGAGTTCCAATTTTAGCCTCAGCCTCGCCAACTCTCCAGCCTATCATTTACTGCCTCCACTACATTTCCACACTCACTGAAGTCCATCAGCAATATCTGGGGGAAATTGCAATAAAAATGTCATTTCGGAGAACAAGTTCTGCAGTATGGTTTTTATGACATCTGTCGTTAAATGGGAGCCGTAACGTGATAAAGCATTGATCGTGTCCACAAGGCCTGTTTCATACACACAGTAAATATATAACGTCCTGGCTGTGATGTGGCACGTTTTTATGGCTGTCCTAACTTCTCGTGCAGCAACCCAGTTTTCTGACAGTTGTTGTTACCCTTTCAGCAGGACCTTATTTTAGGTAAGGTGCTATTAAGTAGAATGTGCCATTATGCCTACGGAAGTAAATGTACAGAAGCGGGGTCTGCAAATGGGCCTGGAAGATTGATATACTGGAAGGAAGTAGGGCTTCCATCTCCTGGCAAAGTCATCAAACTTTGATTTGACATGCAGATCATTGAACCAACTGACCTACTTTTCTGGTTCAGTGCGGAATTTATCTAGAAAGAGTGCAGATTTAGAAAGCCTTGCTGTTCCTGTTTATCATATGTTAATGTCATATGTTAAGTTGTGTAGCTTACCTTTCTTTTACAGCATGAAATACATGCATTTCCTTGTATCTTTTTACCGTTTATTTTGGCTTGATTGGTAACATCGAACACACCATCAGACACAGCTGTCAGTTTTACAGAGCTGTGCACATATTGAAGATACAAGAAATATTGATCTGAGTTTCTGCACCTGCTGCTGCCCATTGATCACAAGATGCTGTTTTATGTATAACTGACTCACCTATATGTTGTGCAGAAATGAAAACCATTGCTCACTAGTTCTATAAAATTCATTCACATGTGACACTTTCTTAGTATACCATACTTTGTGTATCAATAATGAAACAAGCTCAGATAAGATAAAAACAATTCCTCTTCCTTTTTGATGTATGTAATGTCGTGGTGATGTTACTGCATGGTGATGTCATTGCTGATGTTACTGCTTTATGACCCCAAATAATGTGCTAATACAGTCATTATGGCAGCCAACATCATATTTAGTACCTTTTTTATGCCGGGCTTGGATTCATGATGTACATATCTACCTCATCGCAATAGCCATAAAAGCAGATTACTGCACACTTACTGGGTATTCATCTTGGAGGTGACCGCTTTAATGGGCAACATCTGCATCATGAAATTGGTCCATTTTGTCATTTTTATGGGTATTTCTTTTACCTAACCCACCTGTAACTTCCATAGTACTTCATGTGTCCCTGGGGGATACTTATGTACTGACATATACCCCAGCTGGTATACAGAACACCTGTTTTGTATGTGAAGTAATTACCACTAATTTTTGTCTCGTAAACTTTCTATGAGCCTACTTGGTACTGTCCTCCACACAATAGCATGAAAAGCGTCTGTATTCCTGTATCTCCACCAATTTGAGGTTGTATTATGTCCCACTGATCAGCAGTCAGTGTCTAGCCTTCTTCCCGATGATTCTGTATCGATTTCCCCCGCCCAGAAAGCCTGGGTTTGATAGCATTCCGGACAGAGCCTGCCACTTAAGATTGGCAGATAATCCCAGCTTTCCTGACTGTTTGCATAATTTGTATTGATCGTGTTATAGTCAGCATGAAATCTGTATATGTGATTGTATCAGGCCGTCTTGAATCATCAAGACATAGCATCATTGATTTTTTGTGCCCTCACTAACCACATTCAAAACCCCTTAGGATAACTGAAAGCAAAAGCAGACAACGCAATGAGTATTGATAATAAAATGACTTTCTGTCACCTGTGTTAGCCTAATAAATACATGCCGACAATCTGCTCCTTTAGTTAAGGTCTTAATTCATTCATAAGTAAAAGCCGCTGACCCATATCTTTAGTCAGGACATGTCAGTGATGTGTATGTCTTGTGAGATTCACTGTGCACTGATGTATGTGTGTACAAAGATAGTTTATGTTGATGTAACTTATAGACATTTAGGGAATGGCTGACCCACAATAAGGAGAAGGTTGACACATTTGAGGATTTGTCATTATCTGTGGATTGTAGTAAATACTACAATTTATCAAGATAAAATATTGTCTGGAGGATGTTTTTAATTTTGAAAGCATTATTACATTTACATTGATTTACTAAACAAAAACTGTTTCTTTTACAAAACCTGAAGCAGACCATTGTAGACAGATTTCTCTCAAAACGATCAAGATCCCAGTTACTTAGAGAGTATATCTTTTCCAGGGTCCCAAACAGGGCAGCTCAATACTGATTGGGCTCTGACCAAAACACTGGAGGTTAAATGAACCAATTAGAAAACCTGGAATATACGGGTGTACGAGGCCTGGGTTGATCAATATCACTTATCATTCTGCCAGGGTACATGATTCTGATTAGCCCACCCCTTTTTTCCTTATTAAAGATATTATACAATGCCTGCATCATATCTGGCATCCTGCCAGCAATAGCACAGCTCAAAGTTTCATACCAGCTGTATATATATTTCTGTGAATACAATTTATCGATTTATATCAAGGAAACAAAGGCCTGGGGAATTTCCTTGGTTGTGGTGCTTGTTGGGCGTTATATATCAGCCTGAGCTGGGTTTACCATGGCTCCCAAGTGGATCTGTCTGTGAAAGTTGTTAGAGGAGGGATTAGATAACAGAGGCTGCCTGCCATAACAGCAGCTGCTCCTCCCTACTGATTACTCCTCCTGTACTGCCCCCTGTGGCAAACTGTCTCCCAGAGAAAATATCCTCACACGACCTGTTGGAAATGGTCCACATCCATCACAAGGTGGTGAGTTGCACTTCTGCATTCTATTGGACTTGGAAATGGGAGCAATGTTATCCCTGGACCGATTGAGGTTTCTTTGGGATGTAAAATAAGTTACAGGTCAGGTCAAGACAAATTGGGAAGTCAAAGTTATTTCAAAGAAAGCAGAATTTTTTGATATACTAGTCAAGCACTCACTCTCACTACTGGCATTATTTCTCAGCTTTCAAAGAATGTTGGAGTTGAAGAGGAAAGAAATGTTTGTTAGTGTTCAGCATAACAGTAATAGTATGGTGTACAGATCTTTTCTACATGCTCCTTGCCTCACAACAACATTTTATGGTTTGTTGTCCCTTTGGTCTTGTATTCATTGAGGCATAGTCCCTGCACAAATCTGATTAAAGATACATCAAATATCGGACACTGTAACCGAAGACCAGATG